TTCAGCTTTTTATACAAAGCTTATAGACAGTTTATATACAGTTTATACAGTTTGCACACGGTTTATAGACAGTTTATACTTAGTTTATACACAGTTTATAGACAGTTTGCACACGGTTTATAGACAGTTTATGCACAGCTGCTCGAAAGATCTCCGAGTATTGAAAAGGCTAGTGTGTTCACTTGTCAGTGTGTTCACTTGTCAGTGTGTTCCTGTGTGTGTTCTCCAGTCGGTGTGTTCCTGCGTGTGTTCACTTGTCTGTGTGTTCGTGCGTGTGTTCACTTGTCTGTTTGTTCGCCAGTGTGTTCACCAGTGTGTTCGTGCGTGTGTTCACTTGTCTGTTTGTTCGCCAGTGTGTTCACCAGTGTGTTCGTGCGTGTGGACCACCATGGACGTGTGTGGGAACCAAGCCGTTGTGCTGCACGGAAAGATGGATATGAGACTGGTAACTATGTGGGTGTTGGTGTGGTTGTTGTGGTTGTTGTTGGTGGTGGTGGTGAGACTGGTAACTATGTGGGTGTGGTTGTTGTGGTTGTTGTTGGTGGTGGTGAGACTGGTAACTATGTGGTTGTTGTTGTTGGTGGTGTTGTGGTTGTTGTTGTTGTTGTTGGTTGTGGTGGTGGTGGTGAGACTGGTTACTATGTTGTTGTTGTTGTGGTCGTTGTTGGTGTGGTTGGTAGTGTGGTTGCTGGTGGTGGTGGTGGTGAGACTGGTTACTATGTAGTTGATGGTGGTGGTGGTGATGGTGTTCTGCTGTTGTTGTTGATGATGGTTATGGTGGGGCTATGGTGGTGGTGATGATGATTTTGGTAATTTAATGTTAAAATAATAGTTGCTTTTTATGCCTTTGGTGGTGGTGGTGGTGGTGGTGATGGTAATGATGACTCTGGTGTGGTTTGCTTCTTCTTTCCTATCAAACAACTATCTGGGTGGTTGGCGGGTGCTCTGGTGTGGTTTGCTTCTTCTTTCCTATCAAACATCTATCGTCCTTATCTCCCCTCTTTTTTGTGTTTGTTACTCTCTTGTAACACCTCGAGTCTTCGGCACTTATATGACCTTATTGTGTTGCCAGTGCTGTAAAACTCTCACTAAAACACAAAAGGTCATATCTGGTAGATCTGATTTGCCCCGACACTCTCTCTACCCATTATTTTGTTCCAACCCCTCCCCTCCTCTCTCTTTTTCTCTCTCTCTCTCCCCTCCCCCCTCTCTTTTTCTCTCTTTCTCTCTCTCTCTCTCTCTCTCTCTCTCTCTCTCTCTCTCTCTCCCCACTCTCTCTCTCCCCACTCTCTCTATTTCTCTCTCTATTCGTCTCTCTATCCATCTCTCTCTATCTGTCTATCCGTCTATCCGCCTCCTTCTCTCTTCCCCTCTCTCTGTCTATCTCCCCCTCCACCCTCTCTCTCTATCTCCTCTCTCTCTGTGTGTGTGTGTCTCTCTCTCTCTGTCCGGCTCTCTCTCACCCCTCCCTCTCCCTATCCC